GGAGAGTTTAGGCGAGTAAGTTGAGTTTACTATCGTCTGTACAGTACGTAAATTAGGTACTGTAAGTCTAATACAGCACTAATTTTATACATTTCTTGTGAAAGAAACATTTCTTATTCAACGGCCATAAAAATTATTTATATTAATGATGTCTCCAAAGTTCAACAAAGTTTTTGCAGAAAAATAACTTATCAGAAATCACCTGCCGTTTGGTGCGCTGCTCCGCAACGAAAACAAGCTTGAGCAATGGCGACGTCGAACGGGGCACACTCGGTAAGTAATCCTACAATTTTTTGTTTATAGCATAGTTTATACAGATTATTCCCAAAAAAATTATACATATTTTGGAAATGTTGAGTCGAATTAGTCTAGAATCGATTAATTTTATGGAAGAAAACCTTTCAAACAGCCATAGTCCGTAAACTTCACATGTGTCGGGCTGTGATTGACTAGGACTCGTACAAAATTGATTCATAAAGAACAGAACGTATCTACCGTGTTATAGGGGGTTGACTGTATTTTCCCCTGAAAGGAGTTAGCAATGGAGTAGTGCCATTCATTTATCTAACAGTAAAGTATGATGTACAGAGGTAAGACTACTAATTTGAGGTGGAGAGCATATATTTTACATTAAATTAAAATTGCAGGCAGGCATTGTGATATCACAAATATCTGCTTGTTATATTTTCCTTTTTATTGATTTAATTTGAGACCATTTCTAAAAATATATTATATCTTTGTTTATTTTATTTATATAAAAGGGAATTTTTAAAGAAAATGGGTTTTTAAAATTAACAGTTCTTTTCATTTTATAAAAGACATTATTTTAAAGAGAAAATGAAAAATTCTAGTAAGTCCCGCATATAGTAAGTAAGTACTATAAAAAAGAGGGGATACAATCTTTAAAACAGGGCATCATACATTTTGCAAGAAGCTTGAAACTGATTCATTGTCGGACGAGCATTCTTGCAAGGTGGCACCGATTACAGTCAGGACCAACTTGGTCTTGAAAAAGAAAAAATGTTCCTTGTTTTCAAGGCCAAGGTTTCTTCAACATACAACAACGTTGCATGGAACAATAGACATAATAGAAACTAATGAGCAATATTTATGTGCAGAATAAGCTAGAAATCATGAATTTCCTTTTGTTTGTTGAAAAATTTGATTATGTATTCTGACAGCCCATGTCTAACTCTCACGGATTAGAAGAGGCAAGATACTTTATTATAAACAACTAAATACAAAAACTTATATTATGAAAGCTAATTAAATGTACTTTATTTTACATATAGGTTTTATTGTGTTAACATCAAAATCTTCAACATTTGAGCAGGAAAGTTAGCTATGTGCTCTGGCTGAAAAACATCACATACTTTCATACTGCAAATTTGCTTAATTAATTAATGATTTTCAAACAAAGACTACATTCAGATCAACATAAAACAACAAGTAAAGAATGTTGCTTTCGTTAAAAGCTATTAATAGATATAAAAAAGCACTTATGGTAAATACTTTTTAGTGCATTCACATGAAATGGAAAAACACCAGGAACAAAAGTCTTAAAGCATCAATAAAACTTTATTAAAAATTTTAATCTAATAATGAGTGCAACTTTCTTCTCTCTGAGAAATTATAGCTGTGCAATTGAAGATCAAACTTCTTTTGTGACCCTCAAGACAACATTGAAGGAATTTGTGAGTTGTGCACTTCTGATTTAAGAGCTTCACATAACATTAAAAATGTATGTTAACTTGAATAACTTGAATCACAAATGCATTTAATTAGTTAAATAACCAAACTTAAATTATTTACCATTTTAATCTATAAATAATAATTGAATTATTCATACAGAGAAAAAAATGCCAAATATATTTTAAATATTTATCAACAGTTTCAAGCATCTACTTTCTGGATTGCAGTTATGATGTAATTTTTATCTGAAAAGAAAGAAACTATTATAGATCATACTTGATAAAAAACATCTTGAAAACTAAATAATAATATAATTTTACTCTTAACTGCATAGTATATTTTAATTAACAAGAATTTCTGGCTTTAAGCTTTCAGCCACTGTCAGGTACTGTTTGTTTAATAAAACAAAAGATACAGTAGTTGAACAAAGCAATGACAGAATATGCGATAGTGATGCAATGACAAAATATGTGATAGTGATGCAATAACAAAAAATTTACAGACAGAAATTAAACATAGTAGCTGTAATATACTTAGACTGGAAATGACATTCATAACAGCCTCAGTACATACATGATATACTGATAATAGAGATGTATACAACAGCACAAGGCTCCACTGATACTTCTAATATGTCCAAATCTTAGTGATAAATATTTTTATAAAATTTCTGAGGCCAATAAAAACCTTGTTTGCAATGAGGACTTCTGTTGGGCATGGTCAGATATTAGTCTCTTTTAGTATAATGTTCTTTAATTAGTTACACTGACTCCTGTATTTTGGACATGTAAATAGCACATGGTATACATCCTGAATGTCTTTGTTGCAACTACAGAAGCATGAACAGAATCATAGCAGTGTTTTCTCTGCAAAACAAAATGCTCTGAAAGTAGTCAAATAATAGGAGAAATCTTTCCATTGCTCTTCATGGTCTCCACCATTCATTCCTAACTAAGAACATGTCCTTAATTATGATGATAGTAGTTGTTTTCCCTTGGATTTTTTTCTTCTGTTTAAACCTTACCATTGTGGAGAATGTTGAAGGAAGACTAGTGAACAAAGAGAAAGCACGTGTGGGAACAGGAAGAAAGGAACTCTGTATCCTGAGGATTGCACACCACTAGGCTATGCATACATATATCAAAAGGATTGGTTGTTTTTTGTAATAGCACATCAAAGACTTTCCAAATTAGTGGAAAAGGGAGAACGAGAACAGGACTGAAATTAAGGTACTGTACAGTCATTGAAGCAATACATTCAAATATATTTAGATTCAAATCACACATTAAGTATTGTGCATATTGAAACATTTTGAGGTGAGGACATGTTGTTATCTAATAACCCATGAAGGACAGATAGTGAATTTAGAGAATATTAATGTTGGGTTTACTTCCTTGGTATTGAATGGGATAAGTTTGTAACAATTCATCTATAATTTCTCACACAATAGAAATTCTACACACTATTTTTATGAACACTATCTGATAATTTAAACAATTATTGTCAAGAGACAAATTTCTTACCAGGAGCTATCATTATTTCATCTCTTTTAGAATGAATTCTAATGAACGTAAGATCATTAGAAATGTCGATTTGTCGGATGACGTTTCTTGACTTTTCAATCATTTGGGTTGTTAATCCAGCATAACGAATAGCTGTTTCATTGTCCATATTTGTTTTAATTGTAACACCTGAAATTCAGAAATTACATTCAATTATTTACAAGATATAAAGGTAGTGATGAAAAAAGTTTAGATTACCATCACTGTTTGTAACAATGATACCAACAACACCTTTCTGTGACTGGATTCTTCTCAAAGCTTCTTCAATTTTGTTCTGAAATGATGTGATTTATTGTTAAAATTCAAAGTTGATTATTTTTATTCTTTCATGAAATATGAAATTATTTGAATATCTTTTATCTTTACAAACTTTTAACTAATATTTTAATTAAAAACTCAATGTTTGTTTTAACAAAGTGGAAAAAAGTTGAAAAATAATTTTAATTAAAAGTTTTAACCATAAAATTCAAACATTTTATAACCCTTGGCTACAGTAAAAAAAAGGTGTCATTCACCCATTTTAGATGACATAAGTTTGAATCCAGATCAGATTTTTGAAAATTTTCGTAACTGGTCTGACTCAAGTGAATTGGTCTTTGTCCCTTAATTAATTAAACACCTGAAAAGGATGGCTGTGACACTACACTGTGGATGTGTGGATGTAGCTGTATAGCCTAAGAACCAGTTGGATTTTTTATTTTGATTGAGTATATTGTAAAATTTCTTCCCTTCTCTGTCTGCTTTGTCTTTCATTTTCTATTATTCCTTGTTCATTTCTTATCTTCATACTGGAAAACCAAATAGAGTATGGTTGGAGATAAACTTGTTGGGATTGGCCTAAAGGTAAAAACAAAAAGAAAAAAAAAAAAAAAGATTTTGTGGTTGAAAGGTGTGTGGAAAGGATCTGAGATAAAAGGAAACAAACTGGTCAATAAGATTAAAAGATCTGGAGTAAGGAAGAGAATAGATACCTAGACTGAAAAAAAGACTAATTTTAGCATATGGGAGAACATAATGTGCAACAATGTACATAAATGAAAAATTTTATTCTTTCTTCCATCTGATTTGTCCTAGGATTTCCCCTTGGGGCCAATCTGTAATCCAAACACTATGCATCCTTATATCTAAAGCTATGTATTTATGCACGATGATCGGAGATGGTAACTCTCTGTACTTATGATTTTTAGATATTTATGTAATATTTAGGATATTTTATACTTCCATTGCAATGTTAAAAATGACATCATAAGTTGCAACGGATTATAGGCTAGTTCAAAAATATTCGAAAAGCTTGTTCGTTTGTACTAAGCATTAGATTTTTACAGTTTTTTATCTTTTATTTTGCTTTCTCTTATTTCTTTTTCTTGAGAAAGGTCATTTAACATGACCGAAAACGTTTGAAATAATAAACTTCGGCTGCAAGATAAGGTGTCATAGTAAGTCTTTTGGTATTAAATTAATAGTATGCAGTCTCGAATGAATTACTGAACAATATATTGAACATATCTATAACCATAATTCTAATTAGCTTCCTGATGATTTACAATGCTACTATCATTGATATATAAAAGTTAATTTTTCTTGGTTATATAAACCATGTATTTAATAAATTCAGAGTAAGATATAAAATTTTAAAGTTATAAAATAGCACCACATAAAAATAAATTTAATGAAATGCAATTTATAAATAACTTTCAAGTACAGTTTTAATCCTGTTTAGTATCAAAAAATATCAATATTTGAGATGTAATTTTAATGTATGAAAAATGATTAATAAAAACTTCTGGCATCTATATTGGGATCAACATTATCAGTAGAAAATGGAAACAATGAAGCATCAGCCTGCTGCTCCAAAGTATTTGGTTTACAGTTTAAATTGGATCATCAAAAATGTTATGGATACTTATATTACTTATAAACCAAATATTTAGGGTTCTTCCTTTACAACACAGCTGCCCTATTATGAATTTGGTTGAACCCATAGGGAATATAAAAAGGGGCTTTCTTAGTGCTTGTAGGATGGAAACAGTGAAAAAGATCCTAATATACTGTGACTAACTTGTAAGAAATATTCTTACATATAAACAATTCAGAAATGTTCAGAATTTACAATGTTGATCTAGATTTCAATGAAAAATAGTTCATTTGAAGACCAAACAACAGGCAAACTAAAAACTGTGAACACAGTGAGCCACTGCAAGCCTTTTAATAGGTCAATAGGATAATGATTTTAACAACTAATGCGAAGCTAGTTTGAGTTAAAATAACTCTCGGGACCAAAGTAAAATTATTGATTTATTTGAACATAGATGTGCTTTTTCATTATAAGGTCGTGAAATTTAACATATTGCTAATTTGAGATTGTATTCTTTTGTTCATAAGCTTATTTTATGCATTGAGTTTATTTTTCGCTAAGAGCACAATCAGAACTTTGAAGCATTGTTTATTTGACTCTGAAAAGAATTTTCATCAAATTTGGCAATCGAAGTTCAAGTCGTTCGAAGTATGAGGTACCACTGTAACACTTAATTTAGAACTTTATTCAAGTCACAAATGCTATGTAATCCACACACTGTTTACATAGGAACGATCTACTTACAGTGTATACATATCATTTTGAACTGTCATGTACGTAACCTTTTGTTTTTTATATATAAAAACAAAACAAAATAGACAATATAAAAACAAAACAGTAAAACATTAAGAACATAGATTACATACAAGGTCTGTTCAAAAGTATCGGACCTTTGGTCGGCAAAAATAAATTTATTGACTTTGAGGTACAAAACCCTAATCCCCTTCAAAGTAGTTTCCTTGGTAATGTATACACTTCTCCCAGCGTTCCTGCCATTGCTGGAAACACTGCTGGAACGCATCTTTTGGAATGGCCATCAGCCGGTCCGTCGCATTCCGCACGATGTCTTCTCTCGACTAATTTCGGGTTCCTTTTAGCGGCATGTTCAGCTTGGGAAATAGCCAAAGGCCACACGGAACTATGTGGAGAGAGTACGGAGCGTGACGAACCACAGGAGTATTGTGTTTGGCGACGAAAGCCTGAATCAGATGCGCAGAATGGGCGGATGCGTTATCATGATGGAGCTGCGAAGTTTTGATCGACCACAGATCCGGTCGTTTGCATCGCACTGTATCGGAAAGACGACGAAGGACCTCCTCGTAGTACTCCTTTGCGATGGTTTGGCCTTGTGGTGCGTACTCACGACACACCACCCCACGAGAGTCGAAAAAACTGTCAACATGACCTTTGATATTGCTGCGGACCTGCCGCGCTTTTTTTGGCCTCGAGGATCGTCCCCGAAAGCCTGCTGAATCTTGCGAATGGTTTACACTCGGGTATTGCCAAGGTTTTTGGCAAAATTTGATGTAATATCGCTGCTCACGTTGTTCAGTCATTTTCCAGCTTAGTGGAATCCGACGAGAGCGCACTACATGACCTCACTCATAGGCCGATTGCCAACGACTGACGCTTCCTGCAGGCGGGAAAAAATTCAGGACTGTGCATGACTGTCCCCTCCACAACTCCACCGAAGGAGGCCTCTCACGCATCATTGGTTTACGCGGAAAGAAAAAGGTCCGATACTTTTTGAACAGACCTTGTATATTCTTTTTACCGCTATTGGATCAATAATGTTTAATTAATGGACCATTTTCAATGGAGCCCAAATTTATTTGTTTGCGAGGTGTTTATTAATCATATTAGCAAAAAATAAAAGCAGCCATAAAAGGCGTGGAATCCTCGAAGTAGTCTATAGTCAAAAGTTTGGAGTCTCTTGTCTAAATCAATAGCGTAGCGTAGTGGGGGTGGCAGGGGCGGCCCACCCCAGGCTGCACTTTTAGGGGGCAGTAAAATTTCACAATAAATAATAACAATATCTTGTAAAAATTTGAACCATTTCATTTCATATTTTTGTTGCACCTATGATTCGGACCAATTGAAATGAGAACAGAATTTTTCATTACTTATTCTGTGACGAAACTGAATTTTACTCTTTTAAATTCTTCTTCTTCTTCTTGGTGCCATATCAGATTCCTGACGTCGGCGACACCTGGTGTAGGTTAGTAACCCGCCAAGGTGTATACTAGGGAAGGTTGCTACCCAGAGTGGTTTCCCGTTGCCTTCTCTGGGGCGTGCGATGTTACGCGAGGGGAACTAATGCCTTCCGGGAGGACTTTTATGGGGAACTGGCCTCCTATTTAGTCATTATTGGCAAGGAGAAAACCCGGAAAACTCCAAGCAGCCAGCCTGTCCGATGGCGGCGCGAACCCACGACCGAACTCCCAGTGTTTAGGGTACGAAGACCACTCGGCCACTGGTGGGCTTCATTTAAATTGAGATACCTAAATAAGGGAGCAGCAAAATTTTCCTACACCCCGGGTGGATGGCACCCACATCACACTGTCACATATTCTAAAATGTCACAAAGTGTAATCATCATGATTTAAACCAGGGCTTCTTAAACTTTTCTTTCACAACCCCATTTATGATTGTGATTTTTCTTGCAACCCAAAAAATATAAAATAAAGATATATACAAATTTGCAAAAACAATAATGGTGTACTACCACAGTTCACTCTTGTGTTACAATGGAACAGAGACAACTGAATACACCGAATAGCGACAACACTACACTAGTTCACACTACAGTGTTGCTGAATTGTTGTCTCGCTGCACCAGAACTGACACAAAGCGCAACTCACGAAACCTATGACACAAAGCGTGCCATTTTCAAACTCTCGCAAATTATTTTCAATATTTTGCATTAAAATCTCGCAACCCCAAGATTTCGCTGAGCGACCCCAAATGGGGTCGCGACCCATAGTTTAAGAAGCCCTGACTTAAACAACTACGAAATCAACTATTGATAGGATTAATGTCGGACACAAATGCAGATAAAACGTTTTGACTACAGAGAGAGAAGATATTAAAAAGACAACACACATGTAACTCTCGTATGTTGCCATGCACAATATACCCTTTGTGGCAGCCATTTTGGTCGACTCATACGCCACCTATATTTACTGGCACAAGCGAATAGCAATGCATATTTTTAAAGACCTTAGGTTAATGGACAAAAACAGTAAGTTGATTCTTCTTTTGATGTCCTATCCATTTTGGATGTTGACATATACTGTACAGTATATCAAAATTCTCTCTGTCGAGTACACATTGTTTGAATATATTCACGTTCACTTTACAGATACTTACTAAAATCGGTAATTTAAATCATAAATCAAATATCAATTTTACTTAAATGCTCGATCCCGAGGATGGTACACAGTTAAAAACGTTTGATTATTAAACATTGCTGGAGCAGGCTACAACTCTTTACAATCAAATATTTGTTATTTACTGATTTAAAATTTGTTTCAAATACATACTTTAAAAAAAAAAAAACTCTTTCCGCCCTGTGGGCACTAAGAGGCCTTCTTTTAGCAAACCCATTATGGGTTCGGCAAGGTGGTGAGAGACTGGGCCCGACATATCCGAACACACCCCCAAAAAATTCCTGGGGATGTTTTGATCCGTTCGAATTCGAACCCGGGACCCCAGAGCGATAGGCTGCCACCTTGACCGCTCAGCCATCCGGCCGTCATAAAATACAGTACTGTACGTACTAATTTAAAACAGACCGATTAAAATATTCTATGCATTTTAAGTATTTTTATGAAATATCATAAAGCAACGTTTGCAATATAATACAATTTCAAACAAACAAACAAAAAATATGTAGATCCATTAACTCGTAATAAGACTTACGTGCGCCATTCTCCGAATAATTTTTAAAATTTTTAAATTAACCAATCCGGTAAAAGATCGTAACCAGTTTTATACATTTTCGCCCAATTATCTCAATTTTGATGGTTTCAAATTTTGATTAAACGCTCTTTATAAAGTTCAAATATTTTATTTATTTAATTTAAATTGATATCGCGAATAAATTGAGGAAAAATTCTGTAAAAATTGAGGACTATTCTACATTCGAAGAAAACGGCATCATTGTCATTTTTTTAAATGTAAACACCCATTTTTAATTGCATATTATGATTTTGTATCAAAAGCAAACAAATTTTATCTAACATTTTTAGAAAGCTGCAGTTATCAGAAGTTACTGGCGTTTGAAGTTTTATGCAGCCACCACTGATGCACAAGTAAATCTGTTATATAAAGATGAAAAACTGGGTTCTGTCATTGTATGCCAAAAACGACCACTAGGCTCCTAGCTATTATTTAAATTAATAATAAATTCAGTATATTATTTGATGCGGTTTTTTTTTGCGTTTTAGTAGGATACGCCATGAGAAATTCAGTATATTATTATTTTTATTTGTAATAGGAATTTATTATTTATATCACGGAATGACACCGCTGCTGCTAGAACGCCCAGTAGGGGGCGTCATTTTTTGACCAATCGCCATACTTTTCCTCTGTTATATATAACATCCAGGAAATAACGAGACAATTTCATATTTGACCCTCTATATATGCATAAATGTATATTTAAGGCCTTTATTCATGTTTTTATTTCCTTCACTGCGGGCACTTAGAGGGCATTTTTCTTCAGATTCATCGTCAGTAAGACCGGCTTCACAATGTGATAGCTGGGTAGCGAGGAATGGAACCCGAAGTATCCGGGACACTCCCGGAGCACTCCCAAAAATTCTTGGAGTTGTTCACCCGGATTTGGAATTTCGCAGATCGTGCGGCTGACACCTTAATTAAATAAACATCATATTTAGTATTAAACTCAAGACTTTGTAGATATATTTTGCATTCTCTATATAAATATGACGTTGCGTGAAGCGAATAAAGGTGGTTAAGCGTTAAAAAAAATGAAATTCTAGTGGTAAAAGAATACAGTAATTTTCAAAACTTGTAACTTTTAATCAATCAGATAAGTAATCTTTACTGTCAGTGTTGCATTAATCACTTTGTTCAGTTTCACTTGCAAATTCTGTAGATTATTGTTGAAGAAGCGACATTACTTCTAAATATATACTCATTGCCATAAAAATTACCGCATCAAGAAGGAGTTGTCGTATCGCTGCGAAACTTGGCATGCAGATTATGGAAATGATTAGTTATAGCGTGATGGCTCATTGTGTAATATCAGCAGAGGGTGTTGAAGTGCGTCTCCTTGGCTTATAAAAATGTCCACAAATTTATGAACAATTAACTGAGTTTAAACCGGGAAGAATCATCGGGTGAGAGAAGCCGGTTGATCATCTCGCGGAATGGCCTGACACATAGGCCGTTCGACAACACTGTGAGAAAGAGTTGTGTTGGGACCAGTGACGAGAGAGAGCTGGCACACACAGCGCCCAGGCTCGGGATGCCCTCGGAGACCTGGTCCTCCGACAAGCATGTACAGTACACAATTTGGTCGTATTTGAAGCATATTTCCCAAGTGTGGTGGTTGTATTCACTATAAAGGTTTTCGATGACCAGATTTCAAAAATATCTTTCAAGAACGCGCCGATTTTTTGATTTTTGGCCACTTTTTGATAATCCTGAACCACAGTTCCTCTTACGGAGTACTGGATTGTTAACTGATAAAAGTTAGACGCCCGGATGGCCGAGCGGTCAAGGTGGCAGCCTACCGCTCTGGGAACCCGTGATCGAATCCGGACGGGTCGAAAAATCCCCAGGAAGTTTCCGGAGGGATGGTCCGTTCGGATATGTCGTGCCCAGTGCCGGCCCGAGGCAAGTTTTAGGATGGAGCGAGATCCTATTATGGCGCCCCCCTTGGTTGCCCCTAATTTATACCCTTTAATTTTCTTTATCACTGAGGCGGTCCCTTGGACTTTGCGCCTAGAGCGGCTGCTCCGTTCGCCATATGGTAGGGCCGGCTCTGGTCGTGCCCCGTCCCTCACCAACCGATCGCCTCATAATGGGCTTGCTAAAAGAGGGCTTAGGGCCTACAGGGCGGAAAGAAACAACATATATAATGAATTAGCGGCCGGATGGCCGAGCGGTCAAGGTGGCAGCCTACCGCTTCGACTGAAATAATTAAATCCTAAATATGCGGCCGGATGGCCGAGCGGTCAAGGTGGCAGCCTACCGCTCTGGCGGACCCGGGTTCGAATCCGAACGGGTCGAAAAATCCCCAGGAATCTTTCGGGGGGTGGCCCGCTCGGATATGTCGGGCCCTTCCCTCACCACCCGGCAGCCCCATTGTGGGCCTGGCCGAACCCATAATGGACTTGCAAAAAGAGGCCCTCTTAGTGCCAACAGGGCGAAAAGAGTTTAAAAAAAATATATAATGAATTTATAAATTAATTAATAATTACTTTTTACTAAATTATAATTAAATTGCATATTTTTCTAAAATTATTATAACAGAAATTTTATTAATTCTTAAAATCTTAGTAAAATCTTAGTAGAAATTATTATAATCATTGTATAATGGTTTCGAGAAAGTTCGATTGTAATTGGCCTCGGGTAGGTCACGTGAGAGTCAAGTGGCGAATCGGGAACATCGATAGTATCCCTCTTTACTTGGCATTTTCGAAGAAGAACGCGGTAGGTCCGCCATATTTTATCCCGAAAGAAATTAACGATTCGGAAGGTTTGCGAAGGTGTTCCGTTATATATAAGAGTATAAGAAAATGAGTTATGGTCGAGGGCCACCTACAATCGACGGTATGACATCTTTAAAGGTTGATAATTTAACATATCGCACAACACCGGATGAATTGAAAAGAGTTTTCGAGAAATATGGCGACGTTGGCGATATCTATATTCCGCGTCATCCTTACACGAGGGAAAGTCGCGGATTCGCATTTGTTCGATTTTACGATAAAAGAGATGCCGAAGATGCTATGGATAATTTGGACGGGTTCGTTTTAGACGGAAGGGAATTGAGAGTTCAAATGGCTCGTTATGGCCGTCCTAACGAGTCGTGGAGAGGTCCGAGTCGTAACAGATACGGATTCAATCGTAGAACTAGATCCAGATCTAGAAGTCGAAGTTATCGAAGATCTAGATCACGATCTCGATCCAGGTAAGCAATTATCTATTTCTTCTAATTCACCAAAAATTCTTTACCCATGTGTGCTGTATAATACAAAGAATTGATTACCTTTGTCTTAAGAAATTGACTAGGTACTATCTCTAAATTAATGTTTTCGACTATTTTATTTACAGTAAGATTAATTTAAATACGTCGAAAGTAAATTTACTTCATTTACATTTATTTCTTTTAACATTGATGAATGATGGTGTCCACACAAAGAAGTTTTAGGTTTATATCAATTGCGTGCTTGTTGAATGTGACTTGCTTGAGATAATAACCATACAAACAAAAGTGATTTTAAAAACATTATTACAATAGTTAGATTTTACTACGTTAATGTATCTCTGCTGTAAATGTGTGTAGTTAGTTAAACTATATAGTAACCGGGTAGTAGTAGTAGTATTGTGAAAAGTGTATACAGTGGAACCTCGGTATACGACCTCAATCCGTTCCTGATGTTTAGACTTATACCGAATTGGACGTATACCGAACCAACCTTTTCCATAAGAAGTAATGTAAAAATGATTAATCCGTTCTCATGTAAAAAAAAATGGCTGGCTTTAAACACCTCGCTTTCCTGGCTAGTTTCCGCTTGATTTTTCGTGAGATCAGCATGTATCTTTTTAGCTTTCTCGCAAATAATTGCTTCCGATATGCTGTCACCAGCACACGTTTTTCAGTTATCCAAAGGAAAAGCAATTTCTCGACACAATCTAATGTCTTTGACCCCTTTTGCAACATTAGCAGATTTAATAATGTCTTTATTTTTCACGATTGTCAATATCGTCGTTCTCGGAATACGGTATGCAACAGTTAAAATCTCGAACACATGTGCCATCTTCATATTTCTCAACAATCTCTTTTTTTAGTTCCATTGTGATTCTAGTCATTTTTTTAGTTTTATGTTGCTTTTCATTTGCCTTTTTGTGATTCGTGATTAATAAAAATAATAAAATTTTACTTACGAATTAAAATCAGAAGAAATTTAACAAAGTTATAAACTGTTGCACCGCGAACGTCTAGTCTGGTCTAGTACACCNTTTTCATTTGCCTTTTTGTGATTCGTGATTAATAAAAATAATAAAATTTTACTTACGAATTAAAATCAGAAGAAATTTAACAAAGTTATAAACTGTTGCACCGCGAACGTCTAGTCTGGTCTAGTACACCGATAGTGCTACTTGTTCATAGATGGCGCGTATAATTGAATTAAGTCGTATACCGAGCAAAATTTATGTCGTCCAAACGGCACATATTCCAAATTGGACGTATTCTAAAGCAGACGTATACCAAGGTACCACTGTATTTAGAAATGGAGAAAGCTTAATGTATCGCAATCTGTTGGGTCCTCTGTGTGGTTCATTTTGGGTGCCCGATATTTTGAAAGCCAAGAACTTAAAGGAAAAAAAGAAAAAGATGTTCATAAGTTGCTTGGATTTAGAAGGAATTTAGACAAAATGTTAAAACAAAGCAAGCACATAAGAGATGTAAAAGAGTTTCTCTTCGGAGATGAAAAAGGGCAATTGAATAATAATGCAATTGTTATATTATCCATTTACATTCTTCTTTAGTCGTTCCATTTTGTTTTAATATAGATACATACTGTATATTAGTAGATGTTGCCTTTAGATATATATGTATACAAAATACTTGAAACTAATATTCTATCAAATTTTTATTATTATAGCTTTTTTCAATGTTGACAATTAAGTATTGCTTTTGAAGTGAATCTAGCATGCAACTCGTTGGGTGTGCTGCTTGGTAAAGCAGCTTTTATATGGTTTATTTGTTTTATTATTAAATTATGGCAATGCAACACTTGGGCAATTGCCTAAGGGAAATGCCTTCTGGGAGGTCTTTTTTAAGGGTAACTAGTCCATATTTGAGCATTGCAAATGTGAAGAAAATCCAGAAAACTCCGCGTGGCCAGCTTGTCCTGGCCAGTGTTAGAGAATGGAACCGCTTGGCCACTGGTGGGGTCAGCTTTAATATGGATGGCTAAGCAAACCAATGACATGGCTATTTCATTTGAAATGAACTATGTCATTGGCATGCTTACTCAGTTTTATTAAATCTGCATTCCTAAGTGATACATGTATTATATGAATAGTATTTGGAAAATAAATTTCAATTTACCACAAAAGAAACAAAGAAACATTTTAGGCATTCTTCTATTTTTGAAATTTTGTGTGTGTATTTACTAACTTTTTAACATAATCATCTCCAAAATTGAAAAAAATTTTGTATTACAGTAGAGCATTGATTATCCGAATCAATTGGGGACTGGGGTTGTTCAGAAGATTGATGTTTTGGATAACCGATTAGGTATGAAAAAATATATTAATTTATCCCATCTTGACATTTTTCTCTGTTGCGTGTCACTTTGCGTTGAATTTTTGTCAATGTTAAGCCTAACAAAGACTATTGTATCATTAAAAATTAATTTTTTATTTTGTACGAACAAAATAAATATATTGAAAAGTATAAAAACAATAAAAAAAATATACTTCAGAAGTTAATTTAGTATCAAAAACGTAAAATATTTGAGTAGCCCAAGACATAGCTAAAGATTGCAGCACCACAGCACTGGCAAAAATTTAAATTTGCCGACTGGAATTCTTTCGGATGATTGACTTTCGGATAATCGATGCTCTACTGTATTTCACAAGCTTTTTTTCCCTTTCAACAAGAAGTCTGCTTCTTAAGAATCATTTTCAAGAATCTTAAGAAATCTTGATCCTGCTAAAAGGTCTCCAAATGCAGAAACAGTGGAAGTCAAAGTATGCAAGATTGAAGATACAAGGCAGCTGATGGGTCTGTTTTCATTTGAATTGTTTGGTGGTGGATTTGTTTGTTCCATAATATGTGATTTTGCATTGTTGTGAAGCAACACAATCCCAGAGCACTATAGGGCTTTGTTTGTTTTCAGTATATAGTTTTATTTTCTCAAGTCTCTCAATGTGCGACTGCATTTATTATTGCTATGTGATTTGGCAAAGTACTGTGACCTTACCTTACAGCAGGTAAGATTCTCAATCTTCTTGCTTAATACAATTAAAAATGTCTAATATGGGAATACAGTTAATATATCTGATATTTCTTGTTTTTTTGAAACAACAATTAATTTTGCCAAGTATTTCTTGGCTAATTAACACATTAAATTAAGCACCATGTGTTTCATATTTGCAATGCACCCAGCAATTCATCCAAGCCAAGTTTTGCAGAAATTCAACACACATTATATGTTGAAATCTGTGCTATCTTACTTTGGAGCAACATGCTCACTATATAAACACAATGCAAGTACAGTCGACCCCCCCATAACATGGTAGATACGTTCCTCTTTTTATGAATCCAGCTTCTAGGAGTCCAGCCAATCACAGCCCGACACATGCAGTTTACAGACTACGGCTGTTTGAAAGGTTTCTTCCATAAAACTAATCAATTCTAGACTAATTCGACTCAACATTTCCAAAATACGTATAATTTTTTGGGAATAATCCATATAAACTATGCTATAAACAAAAAATTGTAGGATTACTTACCGAGCATGCACTGTTCGACTACGCTGTTTTTGTCGTGGAGATTGTCATTGAAAGTCACTCGCGTGCTTCCCGATAAATTATTTTTTTTGCAAAAAATTTGCTGAACTTTAGAGACATCATTAATATAAATATAATTTTTATGGGCGTTAAATAATAAATGGTTTTAGGTCCGCTGCTCGTTTAAACTCAATGGTTTGTGCAATCCTGTCGCGACACGAGTCTGCGATGACGTTTTACTGAATTATAGGAGTTTTTTTAGCATGTTTGTACGAATACTGTCGCAATTTTTTTGCCGTGATATAGCAATCCGAACATAGGAACCTGTGTTATAGGGGGGTCGACTGTAGTTAGAGTATTGCTTGTGGAATTGGAAATTTCATTTGTCCCAGTATTATGGTGATTTAATTTTTTCTTTAAAAAATGTGAATATAAGCAAAACTTGCCTTTTCTAATGTTTTCTTGCACAATAAACATTAATAAGTACAATATTGTGAAAATATATAATACAAAAACAAATATTCAAGAAGAAATTTTTATTTTCTTTCAGTAAACATAAACATTAAAAATAACAGTATTTTAGCTATTATTGTATTTCTCATATATTTGTATTTGTCCATTTATGCAACCATTATTATGGTAAAATAATTTTCAATTCAATTCAATGTCAAAACCTGAAAATTAGTATACAAGATGGCATAACATAATCAGAAAAAATCATTCAGGCCACTTGTTGCAATTTTACAACAGACAAATTAAGAAAAAATGTTTTTTTTAGCAATGCAGATAAAATTATATTAAGTGGCCATCATATCTGTGTATATCCTTAAAGTTTATTTATTTATTTTATTTAAACAAAACACAGTACTATTTGGCATTGAAGGTCTATCCCAGAGTACAAATCAACAAAATTCCATAAAATGCATAACAGTTGCATTTAAAATAAAATGATACAAGAGTAAAATATTACATATATATTACATATTAATAATATCTGAATAGTATATATTACATATTAATGATATCTGAATTACAATAAAATGCATAATGAAAAGTTGATCAAACTGCTATAATTATGAGACTTATTAAGTTTTATTAAGTTTTATCTATGTGATGATTATGAAAGGGTTTCATTGATCGACGAGGGCAATCATCCAGCAAAGACACAAGCAAAGTAGAAGATAGAAAAAATGAATTTATTAGGCATGATAATAATGTACAGATACAAAGGGATTCCAACTCAAGGGTGTTTTGATTAACAGTCACCTGAAATCTGGTCATTGGTAGAACAATTACAAAAATTATTGCAATTTATACAAAAAGGAACCAAAAATAATATTTACAAAAATTTCTCCTTAATACTAATCCTTAGTATTTATAATAATTTATAATGTCTTCTCTAACTGCACTTAAATAACAACCAAACTTCAACAAAAACATTTAATATGCAGAGTTTTTTATTAACTTTTCAAACATTTTTGGCCATTTGACATCTATGAAAATTTAAAATCATTCCAAAATAAATTTTGTTTTATAGAAATTGGAATCATTTGATTTTTTATTCCTGGAGAAGGTTATTCAAATGGCCAAAAACATTTGAAAAGTTAATAAAAAAGGCTGCATATTAAAGGTTTTTGTAAAGGTTTGGTTATAATTTATACCTAGAAAGGACTTAGAGGTTAGGAGGTGAGAAGTAGCAAAGATAATGGATAGGATAGGAAAGAATACTTGAGCACTGCAAACATTGTTCGGTTACAATGAGGTGCCATGTGAAAGCTTATTAAACACACAATAATTCTTTGCCTCAGTTCTTGAGAGTTGTATATTTTATCCCAATAGTTGGTTGCTCTTTAGACTCGTCAAGCTGGTCAAATGAAATTCAGACTCTAATATGCTAATTTTGACCTGGGAATTTTAAGGTTCCTTTCAGTTTGAAGTTCTGACTTTACCTGCTTACTTGAGCACCGGACATTGTGACATCTCTCTTGCTTTTCATCATCCTCTCTCATTGAGCACCAGCTTAAAAGTGACTTCCCTTTGTTTTGTATGCCCCGAGGTATCCTTGTATACATTGTTAGTGAATTCTAGGAAATTGCCTTCACCTTAAAGAAAGAAGAATTAAGATTAGAAAGTTCTCAAAGATGAAAAGTACAAAGAATGGGAAAATGTCAGGACAAAAGCAGACAATATGGCATACAGCCACATTTAATTCACTTAAATTTTTAATGGATTATTAAATTCTCATTCAGTTGAATATTCAAAATTCAACTTGCAATACATACGGCAGAGCTTTCTTCCTTGGTTTTTAAATGTCATGTTTGCCTTTTATGATATTTATTCTGTTGTAGATACATAACTACATTAGAATCCATTCAAGGTTTCTTGTCACTAAATTTCAAAAAAGGCTTTTAACAGGGGTGCACAACCTGCCGCCCGTGGGCCACATACGGCCCCTTATCAATGTTTATGCGGCCCGCGGACGATGGTACAGGCCAAATCCCTTCTTTTGAAGTTTCTAAGTGTAGAACTTTTCCCTTTCACAAAGTCATTAGCACCCAACTGTTTTATAACTTTCCCTGAAGTGAGAAATGGGGGGTTGTTCTATAAATAAGTCTATTTCTAGCTAACTCTTTCTGGTTTAGATATCGAATATTTTAAGTCTACCCTGTTTCCCGAAAATAAGACATCCGCAGAAAATAAGACCTAGCACAGATTTTGCTGAATTGCGAAATATAAGACCTCCCCCTGAAAGTAAGACCTAGCTAAGTTTTTTTAGTCGTAACGGTCATCGACAGATGGTTGAAGGTGGCCTTTGGCTTTTTGAAAGTACAGCCACTGATTGGTCAGCAGACAATTACGCCACACGGCATGATTTGCATAAGACTATGGCTTGGGAATCACAGATTTGCATAACGTTACGGCTGGTGATGGCTAATTGGTCGGCCAGGAATCACGCTACATGACATTTGCATAGTGCTACGGTTCAGTAAGCACTAATTGGTCATCGAGTCCGATGTTGANCAATCTTTGGCTATGTCTTGGGCTACTCAAATATTTTACGTTTTTGATACTAAATTAACATCTGAAGTATAATTTTTTATTGTTTTTATATTTTTCAATATATTTATTTTGTTTGTACAAAATAAAATAATTTTTAACGATACAATAGTCTTTGTTAGGCTTAACATCGATAAAAATTCAACGCGAAGCGACACGCAACGGATAAAAATTTTAACATCGGACACGTTAAACTATTTTTTCGTACATAAATTGGTTATCCGAAATATCAGTTATGCGAACAACCCCAGTCCCCAATTGATTCGGAAAATCGACGCTCTACTGTATTATTATTTGAGGGATACACCTTGCTTGCCTTGTACTACAATATTGTCTATTTGTGTAAATCAAATAAAAGCTTTTTGTTTGTGGGAAAAAATTGCTATTATGTAATAAATTTTTCATTCTTTTATATATCATCACAGTATAATTGTTTTAAAACCATAAATTGCCTAATATTTGATATAAAGTTAATAACTAAAAGTCACTTTTTGTAGATGAAAAGATTTTACTGGATTGTTTATATATGTACAAAGACTGATTATATAATAAAATAAATTAATGTGCTTATTTTATACATTTTTATATTTAATTGGTAAGTTGAAAATGCTTTGAGTTGCATGAAAAACTTAAAATATCAATAATTAAAATTAGGGTAATTAATTATAATTCACTTTGTTAGAAATGATTGTCAGTTTTTAATTATTTGTTTATAAATTGTCTTAATAATATAGTCATTTTTTAAGAATTTGTATAAATGATTATTGTTGTATTATATTTTGGTCTTAATCAATTATAATGAGATTAAAATTGTGTCTTCACTTATTAAGTATTTATGTTTGTGTGTGTGTGTGTATATATATATATACACATACATACATATATACACATGCATACACAGTAGATATAAAAGTATTTTTTTTCAGAAGATCACGTTCTACATCTCGTAGTAGAAGGCATCGACGTTCAAGAAGTCGTTCCAGAAGACACAGGCGTAGTCGTGACGATTCTAGATCAGAGTAAGTTATATTCTACATACATTTTTTTCCATTATAAGTAACTAGCAGGTGGGCCCAACGTTGCTCGGGCAAAAGTAACGATAACTAAGATAAAGATTATTACGTTACAGTCAACCTTACCCGTTTTCACAGAATGCAAGAATTGGGTCCCCTTGTTTCCAGACTAATTAGAGAATTTTTAGATGGGTCTAAAAATATGTTCGATTTCCCGCAAAAACGAAAAAAACTGCATCTGCGTATTGCACGTCGCTTTCTCTTAACAATTCCATTGTTACGTAACATTTCCATTGTTGACACTTCCATTGTTACTTAAAACTTTTATTGTTACTTAAAACTTCCATTGTTACTTAACACTTCCATTGTTACTTAGCACTTCCATTGTTACTTAACACTTCCATTGTTGATGGAAGTGTTAAGCCTTAATCCTGTCCCTCTCCCCCGTGGGGAGGAATTTCGAAAAATCCCTTCTTAGTGTGCGTTCTCCTAACGTACCCTAACTGTGTACCAAATTTCAACTTTCAACTCCTAACCGTTTGGGCTCGTATCCATAATGTATATAGAAGTTTTAATCCTGTCTCTCTCCCCCCGGGGGAGAATTTCGAAAAATCCCTTCTTAGTGTGCGTTTTCGTGACGTACCCTATCTGTGTACCAAATTTCAACTTTCAACTCCTAACCGTTTGGGCTCTGCGCTTATTATTATTATTATTATCATCAACCCGTCTCGATTATATATTAGATTATATGACTTAAGAATGCTAATTTTAGTTTTAAGTATTGTTTTAAATAGACAATACATGACACATTAATGTTAATTATATTATATTAATATTTTATTTCATTCATGAAAAAAACTTTTAAGTTGAAATTGAACATTTTTCTTTTAAATGTGATTTTAAAGTTGGAGAACAAAGAAAAAAAAAAGTTATTATTTCTGAAGTAATATTTTGAGCTGAACTAAAATTTTAAAATATTTTGTAAAGTAGTATTTATCATTGGAAAAAATCCAGAATATTTTAAATAAGAGAACATATATAACATAAATATTGTGTCCTGTCAGTCTTTGAAATTCAAAGCTACAGTTCTTTGCATTCAGATAATAATCAGTAGTGTGAAAATTTCAAATTACAGTCAAACCCCCTATAACACTGTTGATAATTCCGTTTTATATGAATTCCATGTTGTACGAGTCACTTAGATTTTACAAATACGTGAGCCGTTCACAGCTCGGCACATGTATTTGTAAAATCTAAGTGACTTGTACATGGAATTCATATAAAACGTTAGTATCAATAGTGTTATAGGGGGGGTTGACTGTAGCACATACTTTGATAATTTTTGCAATTTTATTTCTACAAACTTCCATATGTATATTATAGTAGAGATAGACAATAACTTTTTATTATGAGAACAAGTAATCATTTTCTTGTTCTTTGAAAGATTTTTTTATTATTACAATTGTAGAATTGGTATGTATTTCTTATGAATTTAATTAGTCTATTTCTTATTTTGCATTTACTTGTATGTCTAGTTATTCTAGACGTTACTGCCTTGATTACAAAGATTTTGATTAATATGAATACTGAAGATAAAATTGGAAAACTAATAATCTCTTTATTCTTTAGAGATTGTTCATCAATTATTTTTGAAAATCATTATAATAAGACAGATACAGTAGAGCATCGATTATCTGAATACTGATCAACCAAAACATCGGTTAACCAAAAGCATTCCAGTTGGCAAATTAAAATTTCTGGTAGGGCTGTGGCATTGCAGCACTCTTCCCCTCCCTGCTAAACTGAACTATAGGCCTAGTTTAATATATTACATTATGTAAGGTATGTATTTTAAGACGTGTGATACAAATTATATACAGTACAGTTTTGTTTTTAATATGTTTTTTGTAAATGATCAGTTATCCGAACAATTCCAGTCCCAAATTGTTTTGGATAATCAATGCTCTACTGTAGTCGCTTCATTAATTCTAGTTTTAACTAGTTAATCTGGAATTAAGTGAATACAGTTGATAATACTAGTATTCATTAAAAGTTTTATAGTTAATACAAGTTCTTGTTAGTAAGAAACAATACTGACTGAAACTTCTCATTATTAAAACTATGTTAGTAAAAGCTAGTTGTAATTAGAGGGGAAAAAATAATAATAATTGCAATTATAACACATTATTCATTAGTCTGGAAAAAACCTAACAATATGGTGTTACATAGAAAAATAACAGAGAAACAAGGATTAGTCAGTTGACAGGGCTAGACTTCAAAAATGGACAAAATAACAAACAGATTAGTTCAAAACACAATTACTGTAAAAATCCTGAATTTATTAAAGGAAACAAAAATTTATTACGAGCAAACAAACTATTCATGCGCAATTAGTAAAAAAAATCATGAAAATGCATTAATTGCGATAAACTATATAAAAGAAGTATAAAATTCAAAGCTATAATTAATTCAAATCAAAAAGAAAACCAAAACAAGTAAAACAGCAAAGCCATTTTTGGGACAAAACTATGTTTTGGAGAGTGTGGGCAACGCATGCATGAATCTCGCACTCGCGCCTGTTTCTAGAAACAGTCTCAGCATTTTGTATTTTCTTTTGACCCAGTTCTCGGTCCCCTGACTACCTACAAGCCTGGTTTATTTTATGTGCACATGATTTGGGCACCAAATATTCTGTGCCAAATTACAACTCCTGACATGTACTCCTTCAAACCTCTAAGATGTGCAGCTGTTGATAGCAGCATGATTTTAGAGATGAGACATAGTCTCATCAACAAATGTTCACAAATCTTCCTGACAGGTGGGGAACATAACTTTAACTTAAGTTTTAACTCTCCACAAAACAAGCAGAACTCAACAACAACAAAAGGAAATTTATGTGATCTAAACTACCTAACTGTCACACCAGAGAAACATCAGGAAATTCTTCTTGTCCCTTGCTCTGGAATGGTCTTTGCTTGCTGTCAGAAGTTTTAACCTGTTCTCTTCACTGTTGCTGGAGTTTTTATAGACCTTGGTGTGACGTCACAATTAGCTATGCCACTCCAACTCATTTACATACTTAACACACACTACCAAGTATTATTCTCTTTTTATTACAATCTTTTAGTTACACTAGTCCTTCCAATCTTCCCAAAATATTCTGTTATTTTTTTTTTTAAATTAATAACAAAAAGGATTACTAGACAATTTAACTCAAATGAGAAATTGCTTAATCCAAGATGCCTTATTAGATTGACGTTGTCGGCGTTATGACTGTCAATCATGCAAATAGTTAAAATTTTATTTTTAGAATTTTGTCTGAGTGGTGTGGAGTTTTCATCTTTCAAACAAAATAAAAAGTTTGCAAAATAAATAATAACAATAACTAAATAAAAGATAACATTTAGACTTAACTCCTTACACAATTAATAGAAAAAATAATTTCATTAAGCCTGTCATTTTAATTATTGTTATCAGTACAATCTACACTCTGTTCTTATGTTCTTTATTTATTGGAACAAAGCATGCTATCATGACATTTCAAGATGCAAAGATTTCATTGTTTCTTTCAGAAAAATCACTTTTAAATGCAATCCTTCTATATGTTCAGGGGACAAGTTCCTATTCCTTGCCTTGTTCATCAGCAAAATTTTCTGAGATATCAGTTCTCAAGTAAAGAAAACTTGATGAGAAATGTCAAATTCAGATATGAAAGAAATGAAAACTTCCAGCTTAAAATTTATTCTAACCTTAGAGTTAAGTGAACATACTTGCATTCTAGCTTGTTAACCTATTCGATGTTGAAATGTTTATTTGTTGCGTGTGATGCCATGTTGAATTTACGCCGATGTTAAGCCTAATTTTTTTTAAAAATAAAAATTGTGTTTACTGTATCGTAAAAAATTATTTTTTTATGTTTCACAAACAAAATATATATATTGAATAATCTAAAAACAAAAAAATTTTATTTTAAAAGTTTGTTTTAATATAAAAATTATGACGCGAAGCAACATTTAGTATCAAAAACGTTCCAATGTAAAAACAGAAATATTCGGGATCACCCACGCAGGTCAATGAGGTCAACCCGAAAATTTTCGGGATCAACGTAGGACAGGTTAAAAATTCCTGCTTTTTGCCAGTCATGTACAGATTTTGTTTCTTTAAACATGACTCTCATGAAGTTTGAAAAGTGTGTCTATGCTCTCTTTACATCTGGAATGTGTAAAGTAACATTATCTCTACTTCACCGAGTGGATGTGTTGCATTTGAAATCATTTTCTTTTTTTTTGACCTGCTTTTTAACATTTTTATGGGCTTACTATATTTGACAGTGAACTACCTAGCATCTCCTCTTCAACTCTCTATTATTATTTTTCAGTTTTTGCTCTGCATTCATCTGTTTGGTGAATTTTGAAACTTGTTGTATACTTTAACCTAGACCAGTGTTTCCCATCCTTTTTGAATTAGTGACATATTTTGAACTTAATTAGATTTTTGCAGCACACCATAATTTTTAAAATAAAAATGTTCAAAATTTTTTTTCTAATTAAAAACTTATTCATTCTGTTACCTGCTTAAATTTAAAATAAATAATAATTGATTTTTAAAAAGTGTGATAATCTGGAAGTTAAACTTACCAATATAAAAACTCGATTTTATGAATCTGTATATACAGTAGTGTCTGCTTATAACACTATGTACTGCCAGAACTGGTTCATTATAATCAATCTTCATTATATCAGATAAGAAATAAAACAGCTTAATTTTGAAAAACTAAAGTTTAAATGTCTCAAAGATAAAAGGTAACAATTTGTTACATACGAAGTTTTCCATTAAAAGATCAATATAAATTAACAATGTAAATTCGTCTCTGTAATCCAAAACACACGCTTTGGTAGACGTATCTCACAGCAATTTCTGGTTAGCAAATTTAACTTTTATTTTAACAATGAAAAATAAAAGTTAAATTTGCTAACCAGAAATTGCTGTGAGATGTCTACCAAAGC